ATATATACATATCAAATTATAACAAATGACAAATTTAATATTTTAAAAAACCCAATTAACAGATTAGTTAAAAGCAAAAATTTAATACATTTTTTTTAAAAAATTCTATACAATTTAATAAACCGTCAATGTAACACCCCTCTATGAGAAAGACTTGGACTTAGAAAGAAATCATTTTTTGGAAATAATAAAATTTCGAAAGTTTGAAAAAGTTAAGCTAAGTATGAATTTTAGATCAAGTTGCTTTGGATGATTTAGGTGTGCTACAAGAAATCGTGGGAAATATATTTTAATTATATTTCCAACACCACTAAGTTTGATCAATTTCGAGTTTATATAAGGAAAGTCAAGATCGAATTTTATAAAGGTATCATGGATTTTTAATTACCCTACTAATTAAATTTGTTTGTGGTAATAAAGTTGCGGTCTCTACAGATTGGATTCAGTATATGCTTCATACAAAAATAAGTTAGGGTTTTGAGAGAAGAGAAAAAAAAAGAGGAGAAAAGAGAAGAAAAAAGGAGAAAAAGCCTGGAATAGTCGAGTTCTTGAAAAATCAATTGAGGATTTCGTCAAGGGTTGATCTCTAAGAGGTATGTAAGATCACCAAACATTGAGTTAGTTTACCCACACACTAACATGATTTTATTCAGGGAAATTATGGACTAGAAAGTATATTGAGTTCTTGATGGATTTGTTTAGAGTTTCTAGTGGGTTCTTGATTGAATGAAGTTGTTTAGAAGTTCCTAATCTAAATTAATCAAATTAGATGTCATTTTGAGTATATTCTTGCATATTTTTATTATGTAGTTGAATCCAAGTGCTTGGGAAAATAACCAATTGTATATAGAGGGTTTAGAGTTGAAAAATGAGCAAGAAAAATTGGGGATTTTCTGGGTGGGGTCTAGGGCGCCGCGCTACCCAGAGCGCCCCATGTGGGATTCTAAAGTTTGGGCTCAAGAGCGTCGGGCCAATCAGTGCGCCCTAAATCAGGTTATGAAGTTTTGAGTGTTGCACCCTGTGCCACTCAGAGCGTAGGTTGGCCACATCGTCTACCCTCTCCCACTTTTTTCTATATGAATTCCCTCGAAATGTACCAATATTTTCTAGTTGATTTCTACACTCTAAGGTACATCTAAACAACATGAAATCATCCATGATATGAGATCATGAGCAATGAATTGATATATCAAAGTCAAAGAAAGTTAAGAGTCAAGTGAAGAAAAGTTCATAGAGTTTCCAAAAAAGTCTTTTACAAAGTTTTAACTTTGTTTTAAGATTTGAGTTCTAAGTTAAGTAAAGAGTAGAAATTGAAGTACATTTCTTCAAAAGATTATATCAGCACTATGTATTTCAAAAGAGTAAATATTATTACATTTAAGAAATAAAGGAAATTTTAATTTCCAAAGAGCCTTTGAGCTAGTTTTTCAGTAAAGAGTAATGCTTTCATATTTAAGCAAGAGAGGAAACTTTGATTTTCAAGAGAGAATTTGAGATTTTTCTTGAGCAATTTTCTAAAAAATAGAAACTATTTATGTGTTTAAACATATGAGCTAGTATTATATTTTCGGAGTAGTATTGAGCACCGAAAGTGAGGAGTGTTAAGACAACTCCAAGCCTCCATAAACCATGTAGCCATCATGGGTACAAAAGTGTCATACTTTTTAGATGATTCCTTAGTAATTTTAAACATAGATTAGTATATCAACTTCGTAGTCCTGTTCAATAACCTTGGCAAGGTATTGGACGGTCCTATCAGCTTGAGACGAAATGTTGTAACATCACAATAGCTCTTAATCGATTAAGTCATCCTTGAAGTGACATATGTGGCAACATATGCACGTTCTGTTGGGAAAATTGGAACAAAAATGTCAAATGTGACAACATATGCACGTTCTGTTGGGAAAATTGCAACAGAAATGTCATATATGGCAACATATGTATATCATAAAATGATCTTTTGGGGTGTAATTCAATTAAATTATTACCTAATTCAACATGTAGAACTAATATATAGTCTTATAACATGTCTAAGTACAAAATTATGTTATAATACAACAACCTTTGTCAATTATATCAATTATTTTTACAAAGACTATCATTTACCACTAGTTCATCATATAATGACGAAGTTTCTACATATGATAGTTATATAACACCTTTATAAATAATTGTTTCAAGTGTTATAACATATTTTTATTGTATAATTATGGTTCAAATTACTAAAATTTTGTCTAATTCGACTTTTTTCAATTCTAAATTGCTCAATTTAGTGATTAAGTCATCACTGAAATGACATATGTAACAACATATGCATGTTCTGTTGGAAAAATTGCAACAAAAATGTCATATGTGACAACATATGTATATTGTAAAATGGTCTTTGAGGGGTTAATTCAATTAAATTGTCACCTAATTCAACATGTAACACTAATATATAGTCCTACAATATGTTCAAGTACAAAATTACAGTCAAATATAATAACCTTCCTCAATTCTATCAATTATTTTTACAAAAATTATCATATCACTAGTTCTCATACAACGATTAAGTAACTTCATATGATAGTTATATAACATCGTTGTAAATCATTGTTCCAAGTATTATAGCATTTTTTTTGCTTAATTATGGTCCATAGTACTAAAATTTGGTCCAATTTGTCATTTTCCATTCTTAAATCGTTCAATTTATCGACTAACCCATTCTTGAATTGACATATGTGGCAACATATGCACAAGCTGTTGAAAAATTGCAACAGACATGTCATATGTGGCAACATATGTATATCATAAAATGGTCCTTTTGGGGTTAATTCAATTAAATTATCACCTAATTGAACATGTAATACTAATATATAGTCATACAACACGTCTAAGCATAAAAATATGATATAATACAACAACTTTTATCAATTTTATTAATTATTTTTACAACGACTATCATATCACTAGTTCATCATACAATCACTAAGTAATATCATATGACGGTTATATAAAACCCATATAAATTGTTGTTCCAAGTGTTATAACATATTTTTATTATTTAATTGTGGTCCCAAATACTAAAATATGATCCAATTTGAGATTTTTCCATTCCTAAATAACTCAATTATCGATTAATTCAACCTTGAAGTGACATATGTGACAATAGATGCACGTTTTTTTGGAAAAATTACAATAGACATGTCACATGTGGCAACATTTACACCTTAAAATGTATTTTTTTGCCAGATAATATTTCAAAAGGAATAACAACCCAACCATCCTACAAATAAATAAGTGATAAAAACCACTAAAAAGTCCTGATTTAATACCATTAACTATTATATTTTATCTTAGAAGATATCAATGATAAACTAGAAATGATTAGGACAACGACGCTTTGTTGTAGAAGAAAATTGCAACATATTACCACTTATATTGTAGAAAACACAGCAACAATTTGAATTGTAAAAAAATAATGGAATGAGAGAAAGAAAAGAGAAAAGAAAGCGAAAATTAGAAAAAAAAATAAATTTGAAAAATGAAACGAAATGACCTTTTATAGAGGTGAGGAGAGAGGAAAAATGAAAGAACAATTGATGTAGACATTTTTATTTTATTTTTTAATTTTTTTATAATTCATAATGTGACATCTTTTGCTACATCTATCCTTTCTGTTGGAGTACATGCAAATAATTTTGTAGTTTTTTTTACAAAAAAAGTTATATGTTGCCACAGACATCACATTTGTAACAATAAAATGTTGATACATATCTGCTTTCTGTGACATATGTTGTTATATATCTTCTTTCTATGACATATGTTGCCACATATCTTCTTTCTGTGACATATGTTGCCATATAAATTCTTTTTGTGACATATGTTTCCACATATCTTCTTTCTGTGACATATGTTGTCAAATATATATTTTTTGTTGGTGCACATGTAGATAATTTTGTGGTGTTTTTTACAACATAGGTTATATATGTTGCCATATACACCACATTTCTTCTTTTTCATCATAATTAACATTTGTCTCAATAAAAAATCATTAATATTTATCAACAAAAATAAACACTTCACCAATTGTTTTATACAACTTATCAACAAAAAAAGTAATTCACAATGGTATACGTAACCATCAATCTAATCAATGGTGGATATTGTTGCTTCACATCACAATTGGCAACTTCAACTTTTTCTCTTTCTCTTTCTCTTTCTTTTTCAATTTATCCTTCTCCATCTCTAGGTCGTTCTCTTTCTCCCTTTTGTTCTCATTGCCTTTTGGGTCATTAATTTTTTCTTTCACTAATTATAGATAGTGATTGAGAAATAGATTTTTCAATCTCATACACTTCAAATATTTATGGACAACTGAACAAAACTATATTTGTTAAATCATATGAACAAAATGGTCACAAAAAGAACAACAAAAACAACAAAAAAATGAATTTTCAGTGAATGTTAACATTACATATACATTTTCTCAAACCATGACTTTTTGGGTTTGTTAATTTTCTTTCTAAAATAATAAACAATGGGTATCATTACACTATTATTCATTTTTCACATCAATATATCGATTTATTTTTCATTAACCCAAGAAAAAAGCTTAGTATTATTTAAAAATTGTAAAATCTCTCAAAAAAATGACATACCCATTTTAAGTCAAACACAATTCAGTTCACAAAGATTAGAGAGTCACGACCGGAGATTAGAAGGAAGATAAGATAATGGGGGATAATATTTGTTTTGATAGTCGAATTTTAAGATTTTCTAAAGAGGAAGAAGAAGAGAAGAGAGAACATTGTGAGAAGAAGAAGTGAAATACCAATGTTCATTTTTTTAAAAAAAAATATAATGGTTTGGATAGAATTATAAAAGTTGAAAAAATGAAGTACTTTTCTGTATTTTATAAAAGATTTGAAAATTTTAAAAATGTTAATTTGGTCCCAAATTTACCTAATTATATTTTTAAAATGATGTGACAAGGTTTTGGTCCATCTGTTACCAAAAACCAAACCAAGACTTATTTGAGACCTTTCATTCAATTTTCTCTAGTTACTGATTTAGTCTATTTTCATAATCTTCTGTGAATTCTTTCGTAGTATTATTTTATAATTTAATCGCTTTGATTATCATGTTTTTGCATCTAAATAATTCAGCCTAAATTAACTCAACGAGATCCATATACAATTGTTGCGAACCTCTTTCTCTTCTGATAATTTTCCTTGGTAATCAATTATTATTGTGTTAAATTTTTAGTCTTTAGTGGTTTATCTGATCATTTTCCGTGATGTTCATGTCGGGTGTTTGTCAAAATTTCATCTTATTATCTTGGACTAAAATGTTACTTAAATAATTAGTTTAAAACTATTTTGTGTTTTGTTGAATATGCCTAATGGGGGTTTTGGACTTATCAATTAAGAATTGAAATTTTATGTCTTTTGTGTATGTGTTTATACACGTGTTTGTTTCAAGTCATTTTTTTTCTTTTCAGTACTTGTAAATTCTAGTTCTTATGACCACAATTAGTGATATATGGATTAGTACTGTATATATTGTTTTGATTCTTGAATGGATTGAACTTTTTCCTTTCTTTGTTTATAGAGTGCCTAATTTGAAAATGGCATCCCAGTTTGTAATGACTTATAAATTTGGGTTTTTTGGGGAAGAATTGATTGAAATATTGGGTCTTGATAGGGAGCTAGGTACATCAGATTGTTGGTTATATTTGGTAAAGTCAAAATCATTCTCAACTTTTATTTAATCTTCAGTTGTATCTTCACAGGTTTGTTATCATATATAAATCTCGAAACGTTTTTCAAAAAATATGTTAAAGATCACATAGTATTATATAATAAATTGTTACATCTGCCGACTAAAATAATTTTGAATTTTTTTACTGGCATTTGCAGGTTGCAGCAAGGTGTTATACGACTCAGGCAGTTGTACAACCTCCTATTTACTGGTAAATTATAGTTGAATGAACTGTGTCAATAACTTAAGATATTTTAAATTACTAGAAAAAAAATTGATTATTAAATCAACTAAATTATTGTTTATTTTGATGATTTCAGTAGCAATGAGGAGTCTGCTGATATCAACTCAGAAAATCTAGGATTCCAATTGATGCAAACTGATTATGCGTAAATCACTAAATTCTCTTATGATGGAGTATTTAGAAAAGGCCAACTTAATCGTTATGACAATATCAATTTGAGCCCATTACTGGAGTGTTGCAATATAGATAAGTATCGAAACAAAATAAAAATTGGGCGGAAATGTATCATATAAAAAAAACATACAGAAATATTTACCAATTTTTTGTTTCAATAGGGGTTGCTTGAATGTACAAAATTGTATAGAAGAGATGATGGACAAGTATTTCTAGTTCGTTTTGAATAGAACGCATGGTGCAAAGAGAATGTGTATGCCTTCTCCTACAACTGTTCATTTTGTTTCTTAAGAAAATGACTCTTTATAACAAATGTTAGGCAATTAATTATTTTTCGACTAAACGCTCATCTCAAACAAGTTATAGATAGAATGATAGATAGATAAACACAGAAAATCAGACAGTTTAGTTGTGGAGTCTCTTTTTATTTTTAAGATATATGTATAATGAGACTTGGAGTGCCACTTTGTCCAAGACCCTTATTTAAGTTATTTTTCTAAGGATGATTCTTGTCTATTATTGAGTTAAGTCTTCCGCTGAGTTAAATAAGCCATGTCAAGGGTTCACTAAAGGCAAGTAATGGTCATTGGGTTCCGACTACGTCCTGGGTGTAGGTTTGGGGCGTTACAAACTTGTAATTAGAGCGCATGGTTCAAGAGTCCTAGGTAGTCTATGAAGCGGTGTCTATAGAGTCTTCATCATTAGTGTGAAGCACACCATATCTATGATGAGGAGGCCACGATATTTAGGAATTCCTTCACTTTCTTTCAAATCCCTTTTCATGCGTTAAAGTTTATCTCTAAAAGTTTCTCTATAATTTGTGCTTGCACGTGTTTAAGATCATCATGCTTCTACGAAGAACAACAATAGGTCATCCATCCAGAAGGAATGTTGAGGAACCAGAGGTACCTAATGCACCAAACGTGCAACCTCAAGGAGAAGTCAGCAATGTTGAGTTCCGCGAGGCTATCCGGATGTTAAGACAAGAGGTGACTAATCAAGTCGGGCAACAAAGAGGGGATCGACAAGAAGAGGCTGACACCTCGAGGATTTGTGAATTCCTGAGAATGAATCCTCCCAATTTCATCGGTTTGAGCACTGATGTACTGTGGTATGACGGTATTTTCAATGCATTTTACTTAAGAGTTGTGTGGGCCTAGAGACTTTTTGTAGTAGTTTTAACAAGTTTTATGTTTTTTTTGCAAGAAAGATATCCAGATTGAAAAAACATAAGCCAACTAAAAAAATGAAGAAGATGACCTACAAAGGCCATCGACAACACGTTGTACGATCGACAGTTGGTAGGTGGTGATCATCGATGTGCAGTTCAGGTTAAGAGAGAAGATTAGGGAAATATAATCAAGTGTGGAACTACGAAAGCAAACGATGGTCCATCGATTGATCGACGGTCCGTACTGGTGAACCGTCGATTGGTTCTGAGAAGGTTCCGTACCAGACTTTTGAAGATTCTAAGTGTGAAACAATGGAGAAGAATTAACAGAATGTAGATGGATCAACAGAACGTACTGCTTGTTGTCGTTTGATTCAGAGAAGGTGATCTTCGATGAAAAAAAATAATTTTAAGTATGCACTTACGGAGGTAGTCGACGGATCATCTATTGATCGACGGTCCATGAATGAGGTCATTGATTGAGGCCATGTTTTTGGACAAAACTTTCCTTATTTTAATTTCTTCTTGTTTAGCACTATGTTTTCTATATATAGGGCTTTAAAATCTCGTTTTTGGGGTTGGCTACCATTATTGTTGTTCTACTTTGTATTGGAGATTGCTGGTTGCAAACTTTGGGTAATTAATCAATTTTCGAATTTTGTTTAAATATTTTTCTTGCAATTTAAAGTTAAATTTACCGGTTTCTTCTTATTATTAAGTTCATGATTTCTTCATTCATTATTATGAATTGTGATCTTGCTAGCATGAGTAACTAAATCCACAACTAATGTTGTGGTAAGCATGGGTAATTAACAAAGTAATCCTAGCAATTTATCAATTCTCAAATAGTGTTTTTGCATGTATTGATAATTATTTCGCTTAGAAGTATTTTTAACGATGGCCAACGCTAGAACTCACCTTGTTGCTATTGCCGGACCAAGGAGGTAGTTAATAAAAAAAGAATTATCAACATAGATTTAGTGTGATACTATCTAATAGGCTAGTGTTGATTGATTCAAAGTAATAATTAAGCCATACATCGATTATGATGTCTGATATGAGGTAAACGTAAGGGTTATTTGTTTATGCACACATAGCCGGACCAAGGTACAGTGTGAAATTCTCTAGATGTTGGACCAACGATTTAGAGAAACATAACTTACCACTTTATATGTAAAACACTAGGAATGGCTTTCTATTGCTAGGAATACGACATTATGAACCTGTGGGAAACATATATCCCTAGTTATTCCCACAACTTGATAAAAATTCAACATTTACTTTCTTTTACTTGTTAACTTAGACTGTTAAGGAACTTGTTTCATAAAACCCCCTCATTACTTGTGTTTGATTATACATTGTGGTAAATATAAGTTTTGAATTAAAGTTACGTCTAAGACATTTTCCTCCTTGGATCGACCCCAACCTAATAGTTGGGTTGTCTACTTAATTAGCACCGCTTATACTTATTTAGGGAGGTGTAATTAGAGCGTATCAAATTTTGGTGCCGTTGCCGGTGAATCAAGATTTTATATTAACTTTAAATTACATTATTGAAATTTAGTCAACGATTTCCTGATTTTTACTTTTTATTTTTATTTTTGATTCTTTTAGGTATATCTCTAGTGTATGCAAAGTAAACGGAGCCGAGGAAAACCACTCGTTCCTATCGATTCCCAACATAATCAAACCTTATGAAGAATGGAGAACTAAGAGATCCTAGCAAACCCTAATAGAGTGAATTTGGGTGATGGAGTAGACCAGCAACCTCCATTACCAATTGAGGCATACAATCAGGCACGAGTTGAGAACCAATTGAGAGAGGTTGTGAAAAAAAAACCTCCAACAGCCCCATGACTTTAGTATTACTATAGGGGCAACGAGAACATTGCAAATTCTGATGGAACTCTTGTCCTACCCCCCTACAATCTAGGCATATATTCATGGTGACAGGTTTCTTGATGTAGATGCTCACCGCGAGGGGTTTATTCTCGGGACTGCCATCGAAGGACCCACATGCCCATATAGCTAAACTGAGGTCTCTGTGCAAAATTTGTATGGGTAGACTAGACTTGGTTTTGAATGTGATTGGGTTACGAGTGTTTCCTCTTTTATTGACAGGAGATGCCGCCATATGGTTTATTAAGATACCGTACAACTCCATCTACACTTGGGATCAATTGAAAGTTGTGTTCTTAGAAAAGTACTATCCAGTGTCCAAGAAGTTCTACCACAAGGATAAGGTGAACAACTTTATGACATTACCAGAAGAGTCGATGAGTAGATCTTAGGACAGATTTACTGTGTTCGTGAGAGGCGTCCCAAACCACTTCATAGATGATAGGTCGCTGAGAGAGAACTTCTATAGGGGTCAAGATGATAACAACAAAGTAGTGCTCGATACTTTTGCAGGTGGCTCCTATGGAGAATGTACATATGCTAAGATTGAAGAGAAGTTGGAGAAGATATCTCACAACAACAAGACTTAGAACAGTAGAAAGTTGTACACTGGTGGAAACACTTTTGTGGTTTAAGATACCAACAACCCAATTGCAGATGAGATTTCTGAAGAGATGGCGCAGATAAGAACTGAGCTAGGTTTGGTCTTGAAACACGTGAGCGGAGTTGTAGAGGAGGTAAATGTTGTGAACTATTTGACTAAACCACCACCGTCGGTAGATGAGTTCTATTTTGAAGAGGATGCCTATGCAATGAATGATCAGACGGGGGGTTTCTGACAAAACTCCTAAGGCTCCAATTAGGAGAATTGACGCCAAGGTTTGAACTATTGTAACTACAACCTTGAGGGCCAATATGTACGAGATGTGAACTATAACCGTGACAACAACTTCAACCGGATTAACTACGGTAATAGGAATAATCAAGAAGGTAGAGGTATGAGTTAAAGATATGTTGCAGAAGATAATGAGGAGGTTTGATGCTAGTGATTAGAATGTCAAGAAGAGGAGAGATGACCTAGCTAACATTGGATAGAAGGTGGATGCACATACGGTTTCGATTAAGCGTCTTGAGTAACCAATGGATCGGCTGTCTAATACTATGAACTCACGCCAACCTAGCAATCTTCCTAGAAACACTATCCAGAATACTTAAAATGACGGGCCTTGCATGACAGTCACTACTCGAAGGGGTAAGCAGACAATTGATCCACCTATGCCGTTTGTAGTAGAATGTGATATGAGAAAAGACAAAGATGTAGTAGAAGCTAGTGGAGAGTTGGTGGACAAAATGATGAAATAAGGAGACATATATCAGAAAGTGGTCACCATTCCTATACCTCCACCATGATTCCCCCAGAGATTAGTGAAGAAAATTGAAGATGGTAAATGTCGGTGATTTATCACTATGTTGAAATAGCTTTCCATAAATGTCCCTTCGGTAGAAGCTTTGGAACATATGCCCAATTATGATAAGTTTGTGAAGGATATGGTGACTAAGAAGAGATCAGTGAGTTTTGAGTATGATGACAGAATGCAACATTGTACTGCTATTGCTACAAGATCTCTTGTGCAAAAAAATGAAGATCCGGGTGCCTTCACTATTCCATTTACTATAGGGTAGCTACACTTTGCTAAGTCACTATGTGATCTTGGTGCGAGCATAAATCTCATGCCTCTGTCCATTTATAAGAAGATTGGCCTGGGTGACCCAAAGCCTACTACGATGCGGTTATTGATGGTCGATCGAACTGTGAAGAGGCCCATAGGTATACTCCATGATGTGCTTGTGATAGTGGATTCATTTTATATTTTTGACCGATTTTGTGAGTCTTGACTGTGAGGTTGAATTTGAGGTCCCCATTATTGTAGGAAGACCATTCATTTTCACTGGGCGTGCATTAGTCCACATGGAAAAAGGGCATATAAAATTAAGGTTGAACAATGAAGAGACAATTTTCAATATATATAGGTCCATGAAGCAGAGTGGTGAGATTCAAATGGTATCTGCTTTTTCCTATAGGATTGAGAGTGTATCTAAGGTGCAAATTGAAGAGCGACTAGGTGTCGAGGCACTAGCGACAATTATCATGAATTTCAACAGTTATGGTATTGAAGAGTATGGGTCTTTGGTGGCTACACTTGAACGAAACAAATATCAATCAAATTCGAAGAAATTGGAGCTTGATATGAAGCATCTAGAGTGTCCACCCGCAAAACCATTTATTGAGGAGGCCCTAAAATTAGAGTTTAAGGCTCTATTACCTCATCTGAGGTATGTGTTCTTTGGTAGATATGACACTTTGACTTTGATAATTGCAGCTGATTTGAATGGTCAATAAGCAGTGTGCTTAGTGAGGTATTGAAGAGGTTCAAACGAGCCATTGGTTGGACAATTGTAGATATTAATGGGATCCCTCCCGGTATTTGTACCCACAAAATCCAACTCATGCATGATCACGAACCAAGTATTGAGCACCAAAGAAGGTTAAATCCACCTATGCAACAGGTAGTGAAATAGGAGATCATCAAGTGGTTGGATTCTAGAGTCTTCTATCCTATTGCAGACAATCCTGTTCGATGCGTGCTTAAAAAGTGTAGGATGACAGTTGTACCTAATGAGAGAAACGAGCTTGTTCGGTGCGTGCTTAAAAAGTGTGGGATGACATTTGTACCTAATGAGAAGAACGAGCTTGTTCTAATGAGGCTAGTGACTGATGGAGAGTTTGCATGGATTACCTGAAGTTGAATGTTTGGACTGAGAAGGACCATTTTCCCATTCCCTTTATGGATCATATGTTAGACAAACTCGCAGGCAAAGGTTGGTATTGTTTTCTTGATGGCTATTCGAGATACAATCAAATCTCTATTACCCTTGAGGATAAAAAAAGACCACTTTCACTTGCCCCTATGGGATATTTGCCTTCAAAAGGATACCGTTTGGGTTATGTAATGCACTGGCCACCTTCCAACATTTTATGATGTTGATATTCTCTGATATGGTGAAGAACACTATTGAGGTGTTCATGGATGATTATTCTTGGTGGGCAACTCCTCTGATCGGTGTTTTAGAAATTTGGGTGAGGTACTCAAAAGATGCGAGAATTGTAATTTGGTGCTAAATTGGGAGAAATGTCACTCTATGGTGAAAGAAGGCATTGTGTTGGGCCATGTCATCACTGAGAAGGGCATAGAGGTTGATAGAGCTAAAGTGGAAGTGATAGAGAAGCTTCCTTGGGCATGCTTGTTTTAATAGGAAGTTCATCAAGGATTTTTCAAAAATTGCACATCGTTTTTGTAAATTGCTCGACAAAAGAATATATTTTCTATTTTGATATCATGTTTGAAGGTATTTGGAGAGTTGAAAGAGAAGTTGGTATTCACACCCATTATTATTTCACCAGATTGGAGTGAGCCATTTGAGGTGATGTGTGATGCAAGTGAGGTTCCACTTAGTGTGGTATTGGGACAGAGAAGGGATAAAATCCTTCATACCATTTACTATGCTTGTAAATCCCTAAATGAAGCTCAGAAGAACTACACAACAAGAGCTTTTTGTGGTGATGTTAGCATTCAAAAAATTTTGTTCCTATTTTCTTGGTGCGAGGGTCATAGTGCATCTAACTATTTTGCTTTGAGGTATTTGATGTCAAAGAAGGATGCAAAGCCAAGGTTGATTTGATGGGTATTATTGTTGCAAGAGTTTGATTTTGATGTAAAATGTAGAAAGGGGAGTGAGAATCAAGTTGCCAACTACTTGTCTAGTTTGGAGGATGAAGGTATGCGTGAATTAGGAGAAAAAGCTGAAATTGATGATGTATTCCCAAATGAACATGTTTTGGCCGCTTTCCAAGATTTGGTCTCATGGTTCGTAGACTTGCAAAATTATCTGACAAATGATGTACTTCCGTCGTACATTACACCAGAGGAAAAAGTTCATGCATAATGTGAAAAAAGTAATTTTGGGATGATCCTTAATTATACCGGAGTTGTGCTGATGGGATGACTCGGCATTGATTACCTGAGGTCGAGATATTGAATATTTTTTAGAAGTGTCACTCCTCGCCTGTTAGTGGGCACCATACTAGTATTCGGACTGCACATAAGATCTTGCAGTGTGGGTATTATTGTACAACCATTCACCAAGACACTCATGATTTCATCAAATCTTTTGATCGATGACAATGAGATGGAGGGATTTCGAAGAGGCAAGAACTCCCCTTGAAACCCATTCTGCTGATTGAGCTATTTGACGTATGGGGTATCAACCTTATGGGCCTTTGTGTGAGTTCTCATGGGATGAAGCATATTCTTGTGGCGGTTGACTACGTGTCAAAATGGGTGGAAGCAATTGTGCTTCCCAACAATGATGGAAAGAGTGCCATTTTTAATGATGGTGGCTCTCACTTCTATAATAAATTGTTAAAATGGATTTTGGATAAATATGGTGTTCTCCATAATATGAATACTCCTTACCATCCACAGACTAGTAGACAAAATGAGGTGTCCAATCGCGAGATCAAGCAAATTATGGCAGAAACGGTGAATCCTAATAAAACATATTGGTCAAGGTGTCTTGATTATTCTCTTTGGTCCTACCGCATTGCATACAAGATCCCCATAGGTATGTCTCCATATCAACTTGTATATGCGAAGGTTTGTCACTTGCCGATCGAGCTAGAGCACAAGGCGATGTGGGTAATGAAGAAACTGAAGTCGGATTGGACTGAAGAGGAAGAACAAAGACAATGGGTTGAATGAGCTTGATGAACTTCTTCTAAAGGCCCGTTAAAGTTCAGTCAACTACAAAGAGAAGATGAAGATGTATCATGATCAAAGAATTGAAAAGCGAGAATTTGCAGCGGGTAAATTTGTGCTTCTATTCAACTCTAGGTTTTGATTGTTTCCGGGCAAACTCATATCCAAGTGTACAGGGCCTTTCCTCATAATTAAAGTGTATCCACATGGAGCAGTTGAGTTGGAGAATAAGGAAGGCTCAAAGTTCACGGTCAATAGGAAAAGGATAAAGATCTATCTGGGGTAGGCAGAGAGTGTTCATGAAGTGGCTGAGGCCTATCATCTTGATGAAGTCTGAGTAATCAAGGGATCAACATCGTGCAACTACGTTAAATCAAGCGCTTCTTGGGAGGCAACCAAAGTTTTATCCTCTAGGCAACAATAGGTTTTGTTTTCCTTGTAGCAAAATTCGTAGTTTTTTTGTTTTTTTTCATTATTTCATTTGTGCTTGTGTGCTAGTGTTGACGAGAGATTAGTACAGTTTTGTGTCACAAAAGTATATAGAAAAGTACAAAAAAGAATGACCTAATGGGTGTTATATGTGCAGGGAGCAAAAGCAAGAATCTGCACAAAATGATCTGGTGTAGAGGTCTACGTAACCCATCGATGGACCGTCAATGGTGTCCATAGATCTCATGTATGTTTCCAATTTTCCCCAAGTCTAGATTTGTTGGACGGTCCAAATCGTTGGACCGTCTTTCCATCGATAGACCATCGATGGTGTCCGTAGATTCCAGATATGTTCCTAATTTTTCCCAAGTTTAGAAGTGATCGACGGTCCCAATCGACGGACCATCAATTGACCTAGGGATTGTCGAATGGATTTCATATGTCCAAATCGAGGTTGGACGCATATGCTACTTCTTCCAAGTCTCTCAGAACCACACCACTGCTTAGAAAGGTACTTCAAATTCATTTATACCATCTCCATCCCTCCTCTATTTACTCTATATTCTCTATATTTGGAGAGTAAAATAGAGAATTGGTTCTCCAACCACTCTCTGTTGAACTCTCTATTGTTCAATTATAGAGGTGCATAGTAGTTCTCTAAATTTAGAGAACTAATTTTCACCTATCTATTTTACTTTTTTATCAATATAATTTTATTTCCATTATGTTACTAATTTAATCTTTATTGTTTGTAATTATTTTCTAATGCAATATAACAATTAACCAATTACTACTTCCGCTAAATTAATACTACTTCCACTAAATTAATCATTTTTAATATAATTTTTTTAAAAATTGTCGCTTTTAAATATGTAACTTAAAGTTATTGAATTATATTTATATTATGTAATATTATTAATTAATTGTGTAATATTTGTAATTATGTTTAATTAATTATTTTGTCATTTTAAATAATTTAGATTATTATTTTTTCATTATGAAGTATGCACAAAATTTACATGATAATTCAAATAATCTACTTTTTATGTTATAGTGATAAGTTGTTAAACTAAACTTTTTAAATAGCATGAATATTTGATTCAGTAGTTCAAAATGAAATATGGGAAGTAAATTATTACACAAAATGATTGGATACAAGATTAAATTGTTAATTTATACAATTTTTAGCAACGCGTAAAAAATAAGGACGAAAATGCTTAATTTGAACTCCATCATACATTTATACAATATTAATGAGAGTAACATAATAGTTTTGAAAGTCGAGTATTTATGTAAGATTTAAAATAAATTTCATGATAATACAATATTAAGTTAAATTTTCCTAATGAACCCATCTTAAGTGGAAAGGGGGTAAATCAATTCCCAAATGTCGTATCATTTCTTGTTTAAAAGCTTGTAAAATGATCTCTGAAGGGTGTTTATACCATATTGTAAGAGTCAAAGATTTAGACTCCAAAATTCCTCTTATGAGTCACTCCTCGTAGTGGGGGAATTTCCGGAAGTATTTCTCTATGATTTTCTCGGAATTCCTCCAAAATGGGAAAGTGATTATGGTATTGAATTATTACTAGATACGGATCCCATTTCATTCCTCCTTACCGTATGGCTCGGGCTAAATTGAAAGAGTTGAGGCTCAACTCAAAGATTTACTAGATAAAGGTTTTATTCAACCTAGTATTTATATATGGGTTAGCCAATATTGTTTGTGAAGAAGAAGGATGAGTCCCTTAGGATGTGCATTGATTTTCGTCAACACAATAAGCTCACCATGATGAAAAAATATCCTCTCCCTCGGAATGATGACTTGTTTGATCAACTCCAAGGGACTAGCTACTTTTCTAAGATTAACTTGAGGTCGGGATGTCACCAACTTAGGGTGAGAGTTGAAGATATTCCAAAGATGGCCTTCCGAACTAGATATGATCAGTATGAGTTTGGAGTGATGTCCTTTGGGTTATGTAATGCCCAGACGGCATTTATGGACCTAATAGATAGAGTGTTCCGAAATTACCTTGATTCTTTGTGATTGTTTTCATTGATGATATCTTGGTATATTTGAAGAATGAGGGTGATTATGTGGACCATTTGAGGGTGGTATTGCAAATTCTTAAATAGCACTAACTATTTGCAAAATATGGAAAGTGTGAGTTTTGGTTGAGATCAATGGCGTTCCTTGGTCATATTATCTCAAGTAATGGTATTGAGATCGATCAAAAAAAATCAAGGTTCATAATTATTGGCCTAGACCATTGAATTCAATCGACATTATAAGTTTCTTGGGTTAATCCGGATACTATAGGAGGTTCGTGGATGGGTTTACGTCCATTTCTTCTCCTTTGACTACCTTGATCGAAAAGAGTGTGAAGTTTGAATGGTCGGAGTCTTTTGAAAGGAGCTTCCAATTGTTGAAAGATAGGCTTACCTCTGCTCCGTTTTTGACTTTACCGGAGGCTACCAATGGTTCTGTGGTATATAGTGATGCTTCCTGAGTGGGTTTGCGTTGTGTCCTTAGCCAACATGGGAAGGTAGTAGTCTATGCCTCTAGACAACTCAAGGTGAATGAGAAAAATTATACAACTTATGATCTTGAGTTAGCGGTCGTAGTGTTATTTTAAAATATGGAGGAATTACTTGTTTGGTGTCATGTGGATGTGTATGCCAACCATAAAAGTCTTCAATATGTGTTTACTCAAAAGGAGTAGAATCTCCGACAAAGAATATGGTTCGAATTGTTGAAGAAGTATGACATGAGTGTTCTCTACCACCCTTCAAGGCTAATATGGTGACGAATGCTTAAGGTCGTATGACCATGGGTAGTGTGTCTCATGTGGAAGAAGGCAAGAAAGTCCTAGTGAATGATGTTCATAAGTTGGCTAGATTGGGTGTTCAGTTGGAAGATTCCCCAAATGGTGGTTTTGTAATTCGCAATAACTCCAACTCATCCTTAGTGGTTGAGGTGAAATCTAAACAACATCTTGATCCACTATTGATGGAGTTGAAGAAATCGATACTTAGCAAGTTGAATGAGTCATTTTCCCAAGGGGGAATGGTGTGCGGTACCAAAATAGATTGTGTATACTGGATGTTGATGATTTGAGGAATAGGGTGTTGGAGGATCTCATGGTTCTCAATAGTCTATACATCCGGGTTCTACAAAAAAGTATTGTGGTCTTAAAGAGGTATATTGATGGGATGGCCTAAAAAGGGACATAGTGGAGTTTGTAGCTAGATGTCCATATTTCAAACAATTTAAGTCAAGCATCTAAAGTGGAGTGGTTTAACTCAAACTATGGAAGTACCCACTTGAATGTGGGAGAAAATTAAAATGGATTTCGTAGTTGGGTTGCCCCGGACTAACAGGAAAAATGACTCGATTTGGGGTGATAGTGGATAGATTGACAAAATCCGCTCATTTTATTCCCGCCAAGTCCACTTACTCGGCAGAGCATTATCCAAAGATCTACATAGATGACATTGTTACTCTTCATGATATTCCGTTATCCATCATATAATATAGAGGTGCACAATTCATGTCTCGTTTTTGGAGATCATTTCCAAAAAGGTTGGGTACACAAGTAAAGTTAAGCATCGCTTTTCATCTCCAAATAGATGGTCAAGAGGACCGTACTATTCAAACCCTTGAGGATATGTCAATATCTTGTGTTATATACTTTAAAGAGATTGGGACAATCACTTGCCGCTGATTGATCTCTCATATATTAATAGCTATCGTTCGAGTATTTTGATGGCTCCATTTGAAGCACTACATGGTAGGAGATATATATCTCCAATTGGGTTGTTTGAGGTTGGTGATTCCTTACTCCTTAGTCCTGAAATAGTCTATGAAGCTTTTGTGAAAGTTTGTGTTATAAGGGATAGGTTGAAAATGACCTACAGTTGGAGAAAGTCTTATGCTGATAATAGAAAAACAAATCTTGAAATTGAAGTCGGTGATAAAGTTTATTTGAAGATTTCACCTATGAAAAGGGTGATGAGATTCGGCAAAAAAAGGAAGTTAAGTCCCCGGTATGTGGGTCCCTATGAGGTTTTGCAAAAGGTCATAATGGTTCCATATGAAATGAGATTACCTAGTGAACTAGCTTCGATTCATCTAGTATTCCGTGACTCAATGCTTAAGAAGTGGATTGTCGATCCCGTGTCCATATTTCGTATTGAAGGTCTTGGTGTGGATGAGGATCTTTCCTATGAAGAGGTTCCGGTGGAAATTTTAGATTTCCAAGCTAAGGAGTTGAGGAACAAAAAGGTGACCATCGTAAAGATTCAATGTGGGAACTACCTAGTTGAGGGAGCAACATGGGAGGCTGAGGACGACATGAAATCCTGTTATCCTCATATTTTCCTAGCTAAGGTTAGTTGTTCCTATTAATAATGAAAATATTAGTAAAAAATTTGAATTCTACTTTATTTGCAAGAATATGCATATTTATGGTAGAATGTTTGTGCTAAAATATGTTTTCATGAAAAATGCTCTTTTGCTTGATTTGCACTTATTTGTGTATTTGGTGTATTATTGCCTTCATGATGTAGTATTGAGCATGTTGATGCGTTTTGAAAGAGGTTTTTGCATAAGTGACTCTTGATATTGTGTTGAGCTCATGTTGTTATTGAGAAGGAAATTCCTCATGTTGTGACATTGAGCTCTTATATGTGGTAATGGGGGTTTTGAGTTGCTATGTATAAATGTTGTAATTCTATGTGTATGGACTTGTGAAACACTCCTTTGAGTTGTAACTCATTTTGATTTTGTATGTTGTTTGGTTGGGCTGCTAGTATTGAGTCTATCCTCTCTCTACAAAATATTTTAGTGTCATTTGGGAACGAATGTGTAACACTTCAAAAATCTAAGACGTGTTATAGAGACTAACATAATTGTTAAAAAGTTTAGACAGTTTTTAAGGTCTATTTTTATTAATACAAGTCATTTAAGAAGTTTAAAAATCAAAACGTCCATGACGTTCGAAAATTAGTTCAATGAAGTACTAATGTGCTTTAGCCTATTTGACTAACTTTTAGGAGTCGAAAAAAGATGAAAATTGGTGGAAGGATGTCTAACACGTGTTAGAGGTAATTCGTAGTCAAAACATCCGGGCATGACTCAACAAAGACAAACCAAGGTCCTTGAGGAGGACCCTTGCATTTTGGGGTCAAGGGGTGCCTAAGGCAGTGTCCACAATTGGATGCGATCCATGATCCGTTGTCCAATGATGGGGTGTGTACTGATTCTGTCGATTGACAATGTTCCCCACATAATAATACTAGCTAGTGGATCCATGTAGTTGCTATATTCATGTTTTGGTACTACATTGGAAAGTAGTCCGCCTTCCTTCGGTGTAGGGTTCCATGACACCAAATTCCACATTAGCTCATGTGGTCTATGTCGGTTAAGGCAAGATGTTCCCAAATGGTGAAATGAACTAAAGGAATGAACTCTAACTAGGATAACCTAAGGGATTTATCTTCGTCTAGGTAGGGGTATGGTACTCTAATTAAACATTGCACTAGTTAGCCTTGATGAAAGTCTTCGGAGGATGTTCTTACATGTCAATAAGCTTTTAATGGTACATGATATGCATATAATGATATTGCACATTGTTGATACTATATGATGATTAGTTTCAATTATGAATATGTGTTGGTCTTCATTGTTAAAGTATGATGATATGTACTCTTAATGATATGCTATGAGAAGGTTGATGTTTGTCATGCTTCTTGTTGTGTTACTTGATTAAGTAAGATTATGGGGCTTTGCTTGGTAATTGCACTTGTTGACTTAATATGGGTTCATGGGTAATTGTCTTACTTCGGTTACGTTATAATGAACTCTTATTCATGCTTGTGTCTATTATAACTTGATGATAGAGTTTCTTTGACTATGTGTCCAATTATGTGATATGTATGTTGACTTGACTAGACTTAGTGTTTTTGGTCTTATGATGTACATGCTTTAGACTTAATGAATATGTAATATTGATTGGTATGGTCTTCTTGAATGTGCACAAGACTTTCTAAAGCTAAAATAACATGTTTTCATGAAATGTCTCGTTTTAGCAAGATTTAATACTATATAAGCATATCGTCTCATACATAGTATAAGTGGTGTACTAACCCTAATTTCTCCCTTTCCCCCCATCATTTTAGGTTCCGGTCGTTGAAAGGCTCTGAGACGACTTCGAAGGAAGACTTGTAATTCTCATTCCTCCAAGTTGGGTAGGTACTCACTTTCTGAGGGCAATGCCACTATCAAGCTTATGAAGTTGTTTTACTTTTAATACTCTTATGTTCTTTCCTTTTCATTTGGATACTAAACATGGTATAACCTATATGATGCTCTATTTAATTGATGTATGGTCTAGGCCCACATTATTATACTCATGCTATATGGGTATGAGCTTAACATTCATTTACGACTATGTTACATCTTATATATCTATGTGCAATAAAAGTATAAGACTACGTAATATTCCTATACGAAGGGTCTATGTATACTCGATATAATATTATGTGTATGTAGAGGTATATGTAAGCCTCTATGTAGAAGTAATGAAAAGTTATAAATGTTCTATATTTTTGGCCTATGAATGTAATGATGTAAACTAAAGGTCTACTCTTAGTCCTCAAAGAGGACGATGATGCTGGTTACGTCTAAGGGGTGCTCCCCCATGTGACAAACTTGCTATCAGAGCATGAGGTTGAATATTTTTGAGTCGATGTATCTGTCAACCACGTCTATTTTAGATTCTTACTCATAATTGTGAAGCACGCCACACTTATGTATAGGAATCTATATGATGCTTAGGAAACTCTCACTTTCTTGGAAGTCCAATATCATGCCTCTAGAGTTTTGACTCTATGTGCTTTTAGAATCTAATCCTTTTATTGTGATTATAGAAAATGAATACTCGAAGGAACGTGGCACAAAGACTTGAAGAAGAGATTACCAATGTGGGAGTTCCTCCGCGTGGTGATCAAGTTCCTCCCCTTGATAAAGATGTTAATGATGACCAAGCTCCGGTCAATCTTCCTCCTTTGAAGGATAGTGACATAAGGGTGGCTCTTTTCCAAATGTCCCAAACCATTACTACTTAAGAAATCCGTCACTATCCAAGCTCAAGTCATGAAGGCCCAAGCTAATTGGGAGGTGGTACTCTGATCCAACCAACATGTTGGAACCATGGCCTCTCGTTTGAGGGATTTCACTAGGATGAATCCCACTACTTTCTGTGGGTCCAAGGTTGAGGAAGACCACCAAGATTTCATTGACGAAATCTACAAGATACTTTATAGAATGGGGTTGACTACTATAGATAAGTCCGAGTTACCCACTTACCATTTCAAAGATGTGCCCAAACTTGGTACGTCCAATGGAGATACAATAGGCCTTTAAGAGGTGGACCGGTGATTTGGGAGATTTTCAAGAAGGCTTTTCTTGATAGATTCTTTCATAGGGAGAAGGGGAATCTAAAGTGGGGGAGTTCATCAACCTTCTTCAAGGAGGTATGAGTGTGTTTGAATACTCATTGAACTTCACTAAATTATCAAAATATGCTCTTTCTTTGATTTTTAATTATAGGGATGAAATGAACCACTCTGTGATGGGAGTGTCGGATGACTTGCAAGAAGGGTGTCACCCCGCTATGCTACATGAAATTATGAACATTTCTCATCTCATGGTTCATGATCAACAAGTGGAAGAGACAAGTGCTAAGAGAGAGAGTAGATATGCAAAGACGACAAGATCTTTCGATGGTTGTTCTTCAAAGGGTAGGCATGAGATTCAAGACAAGCCTAGGTTTAAGAAGAGGGTTTCTAATCAAGTTCATTCAAAGTTCCCTAAGGCTAGGGATTATATGTGTGTCTAATCCTAATCGTAAAAAGGGAAAGGATACTAGTTCACCAACAAAGAATCCAACTTGTGGAAGGTGTGTCAAGAAGCATTAAGGTGATTATGTTAAGGGAACAAATAATTGTTTTGGTTGTGGTAAAAGTGGGCACAAAGTTCGATATTCCCCATATGTGAATGGGCAAGACAAAGAGAGTGGGAAAGCAAGTGGATCTAATGATGCTCCGAAGAAGAATTGCTTTTATACTCTCCGCTCTAGGGGTGAGCAAGAGACTTCCCCCGATGTGGTGACATATATGTTGAAAATCTTCTCTATTGATGTATATGCTTACTTGATCCCGGTGCTTGTCATATCCAAAAAACACACCCTACAAGATAGGGCCAATCTCGGATTGCAACCAGCGTACTTGACCTCTTGGAGGTCTTGTACAAGTCCTTTTTTATCGATCACGCATATACATAATGAAAAGTAGTGCGAAATTAAAAATTTTCACAAGCAATTAGAAAATATCTTTAATAGAAATCATAGGAAATAGTAAGTCTCGATCTCATCAAACTTAAGACACGAGAATACCTTGGGACACGGCCCATACTTCAAAATGTAGAAATTTTGAGTCTATTACTATACTTCAAAATAAAAGACATATATGTATGTATGCCCTCGAGTCAATTGAGGACATACTTCACTTCGCTTGAAAAATTCTAGAATCCAAGCTCTTTTTCACGATACTTCTCACCTTTTACCTACACCTTTAGGGATAATAAAATATATGGGATTAGTACAAACACTTGTACTAAGTTTGTCATTATGCATAAAATCATGAAAATTGACATTTATTAGAAATATGCATCTTTTCATTTAAAAATATTATCATAATCATAACAACATTTAACAAATTAGAAACATGTAATATAACATTTGATAAATTTATAGCATTTTTAAGGTCACAACAACCTCAATTAGTTGTATAGTGAATTGCTTTAATGTAACATTGAAGTGCCTTCCCTTCTCTTTAACACTTTCTAGCATGTAATTATCTCACTAAAAGCTATCCTAAGACTCACTTAAGTAACACAAAGAGAGACTACCCATACACCCTATCTAAGCATGCCTAAATGATCCTCAAGACTACTCCAAATGAGACATACAAACACTTATAAGACATCAAACATATGAACTTGAGATCCTCCTACCAAAGGTGATACTAAGTCTCACTTGAGTGACTTGTGAAGCGACCTCCCATACAATCCCTTACATACACACTTAAGAGATCCTAGAAACTACCTATGACAGAATCATTCTCACTTAACACAACAACATGCCAAAGCTATCAAAACACTTACATAAGTAAATAAAGAAGATAACATCCATGATTGACCTCTTCAAGACTATCTAAATAACCCTTAAGACTACTTAAGGACTAGATAATGTCCACATAATCAACATTTTCCCTAACTAGAGTCGTTCTTAAGACATATCTAGTAAGATACGAAGTGACCATTCCTATGCCCCCTTCCCACCTTAATTAGACAACCCTTAACTACTCTAGATAAGTACTTATTCATTTAACATACTTTATTAACTTAAGTCATTAGTTTCATTAATTAATTTAAGACTTATTCATCATATAAAGACATTGAAGTAATGGTCTTGGACAAGACCTAGGGACTCTAACTAACACCTTCAAAGTCTATTGTGCAATGTCTAGATAGCGTCCCATAGCACCACCTAAACTTGATAGAACTTCTCTAATGCTATTAGGTATCCCATATGATGAGAATAGGCAATAACCTACATAGACCACGATAGCAAAGCATGGAATCCGTAGTTCTATCCTACTCCGATGAGGGTGTTCCACTTGCAAATAGTAGAACTTGGACACATCCCATGTATCAATATGGTTAAGGAATATGAAGGGCGTGGTTTGTACTCTAGTCTCAATCTTTAACTAGAACTACTTTCCTTACCATACACACTCGGTTGTAGCCTTGGTTCTCGTAGATTAATTTACATTAAAGGTTCATATAAAGGGATTCCATATCAAGTTCATAACCCAATCACATTTACCCTACCAAAGAAAGGTCCACTAGGGATACCTTAAAATGGAGACAATAAGCTCATAATGACTTTCGTAAGGTTTGATATGATGCCGTTGCATCCATACAACCTTAAGTCTATCATTACTTTACTTGAAGGATACCATTACAACTTTCGACTTCAACATTCATAACCTTACCACTAGGTTCAAGGCTTTACATAAAAGACTCTCTTAACATCATTTAAGGTCTCATGTAATTCATACATACAATTCTAAGAGGTTTTATAATCCTAAGTCAATACATCTCATTTTCACATTCATACATGAATCAAGTAAGGGACACAAGTCAACCAAGACAAGACATAACATACTTCTCTTGAACACATATTACATGTCATTCTAGAGGCACACAGAAATAACACTTATCATTTTTAAGTCATCCTATGTATAGTGATATCATCATCAATATGACCATCACAGACTCATATAGTCAAGCAGGAATAATCATGCATCAACTCTAAGACTATACGCGTTAAGCCATAATTATAATTTTACATGATCACCTAATTAGCATCATTATAACAACACATATACTTGCACATTAGTTTTCATGTATATAGACATTATCCAAATTCTCATAATCAACTACATAAATCATCATAATACTTCAAGTAGTTACCGACAAGGCCATGATCATCATATTACTTAAAATAACACCGACATGACCACATCAATTGCAAGTAAAGCACATAACACCACCACCATAAGTGGAACATAGCAATAGCAACATAATTGAAGTGTAATTAACATAATATAAAGGTAATTATGGCAGCGTACCACCACTCCATCCTCAAAACTCCAATCCAATACAAAACCATCCAATTCAATACCATAAGGCCCTTACCCATGACAATGAACATCAATTCAATATAAAAACTATCATATTCAATGAAAATGGGTAAATTCAATATGGATTCATCAATCTAATACAACCTAGATATTAATTTAATACAATTATTACATCAACAAATAGCCCTTGAAAATTGCACAAGAATTCATAAGTATTAAGTCAATATCAAGTTACCCATAAAGTAGTCAAAAACTAGGGTTCATGAATTACATGGGTTCATAGGTTAATTGAGTTAAAATCATTAAATTAATAACAATTCATCCTAATTCAATGCTTACAAACCTTTGATGCAAGAACCCATGGATAGATCATGAAATTGGACAATTCATCATTGAAAACTTTAGAAAACATCTTTGAAAGTTGGTCTCCTTGATGAATAGAGTTTCAAGGATCAAAAACCATACCTCAATGAAGCTAATTCTTTAATTTGATGAAGAATCTCCACTCCAATCCAATCCCTTCCTTGAGTTTTTGCTCCAATAGAGTTCTAGATAATTTCTAAGGGAATTTGAGTTTTGGTTTTGAAGAATGAAATACTCAAATTATTTTTGGCTTATAAACATATTTAAAATACCCAAAAGATCCTTTGTGAACCGACATTTCTCTTAATTGGAAGTGGGGTAAATTTACAACTTCACCCCTCAACTTAAAAGTGGCCTACATAGGAAACACAGATTATCGACGGTTACCCATCGACGACCCATCCCTTGACCAACGGACCATCCTGTTGGTCTGTGGTCTGGGACTGAGGCTTTTCTTTAGCTGCCTGCCCTCCCATGACTACGTATCCACCAAGGGAACCTATCGACGGTGTATCGACAGGACCAAGATCCATCGTTTGCCTCCGTCTTTTGGGGCTATCTTGGACAATCTTTGACACCAACTTGGGTCCTTCCTCAAGGACCCTTGGATGGTCCTTGGGGATGTTTGCCCAAACGTTTCCAGTGCAAACATTATCTTATATTAGTATAGGACCTCTCACATGAATTTCATCCAAAACAAACACGTTAAACTCGATGAGACATGCGTAGACACAAAAGGTCATTTCAAGACAAACCTTTCAAACGCCATGGACGTTTTTGGACGTTTGACCTCCAAACTTCTCGAAACTTTAAAAATTGCCTATATAAAACTATAATAACTCAAATAATGACCTTATAAACTCATTAATCACACATAAACACATAAAACCACATTTCAGGAACATAGGTGACTCAGTCGTCGAATGTCTTAGTAATCCCTTGATATTTGACTTTCACTGCACCTAAACTCTTAGACATTGCCTCAATACCATATT